TCTGCCTCCTGCTGGACATCCTATCATGCATTCCTAAGATTTTCAGCTGAGCAAGAGCTGCCTATGATTCCAAAATATTCGAAATTCCCTCGTCAATGTGTACATTTACCAATTTCACCCCAAGAGCAAGGAATGTGGTGAATTGCAAAGGTAAATCCGGACATCGATATGGTCTCGGAATAGTCTGATTTGACCCCTGGATTTTTTTCTTTCAGACCCCACAAAAAGTTTTGGGAAGAAAGTTCACGCTGGTAAGTGCAGAAGAAAAGGACCTGTACGGCAATCGCATTCCAATCAACTGACAAATTCAGATAGGGAAAGCAGAGAATTCAAGCAAACCAGTAACACAATTGCACTAGATTCTAAATTGCTAGATACAGTTCCACCGAAACACTTACACTGATGGGAGACGGACAAGACAATCGTAATATCGTGTCGCGTCGTCGCGCGACATGTCGTGCGCGACAAGTTCTCGCGGACGCTAGCGCGTCAACAGGAGCAGCGAAGCTATTATGGTCTCAGACGGAGACAACACTTCATAACGATTTGGCAGCCATAGCAAACGGCCAGGCAGAACAACTCGTCCACTGGGCGCCGCGTCGCTCGCCGTGCCCACCAGCGCGGCATATCACGATTGTCCTTGTCACATATCCCACAGTGATACATAAGTAGCCACTAGTTCGTTGCATAACAAGAAGCCGTAGCAGAGGAACCTATTTGAGAGGTTGTATAAACCGCCTAGAGCTAAGATCAGATTGAGATATGTATAGGATACATGGGAAGTGATCGACTTCCTAGTCAATCACTAGTCCATCACGAACAGCACCGCCCGTAGAACGTTCATACAGCTTCTGCTTTAGCAAAGCGTACATATGTGAATGGCACTATGCCAACACGTCCGTCCGATTCGCCCTCATACATTCCATTCGTGAGCTTCTTTGTAATTCGGACTAATTGTCCTTTCTGAAAGCGGAACATATCAGAAACATGCATATACTGGTAACTCTCACACTAATGAAAAGTAATAGGTCGCAGTGATATACTGAATCATGATTAGTTCGGCGATTCTACAGAATGAGCGCAAGCAACAAATTATAAGTACAGGCGGCTTGAGCTCATGAGGAGCATTCTGCGTTTTCGATAGCCCCTTTCGCTAGTTTATGATGCAACAGGCCTCACTTTGATAACACCTGTAACTCTTGTAAAGCTGCGAAATTGTATGAGTGAGCCACCCCAACAAGAGTTTACAGGTCTTCACAAAGTGGCTTGTACAAGCCTCGATCTGTACAATTTGGTGCCCCCTCCAAAGCGAACTGCACCCAAGTATTAATTTGGGAAACCCGCGATTTCAAAGGGTACGCAAATCGAGAAAATTTCTGATTCAGTAGAATGCGTCATTCGCTAGTGAGCAGAATTAACCCACCCCATCCAATCCTTTCACGTGAATAGTTCCCAATAAGGAATTCTTCAAATTGATATGCATCCTTCTCTCTGTCATGCCCCAGAAGCACAAATTCTCCCAGCTAACTATTCTTCATAGTTGGAAAGTATGAACGCGGTCTTACGTATGTAAAAGATATAGGCGATTGGGTTGAACCTCATCCCAAAGAACCAAAAAAGTCGAAAAAATCGCAAATAAAGTACCTTCAACTTCAGCTGTGTTCGATCGTACGCGTTTGGGCTGTTGATGTTTTTCGGCGTACGGGTGCTGAATAGATGATTCAAAGCTGGCAAAAGACTTTGAGATTTCAGACCAGCTGGCGCAGCTAGAGGTTGGCTTAAAAATAAAAGATGATGTCAAATAAGCTGGCAACAAGAACTTCTTGAGAATTTTTCAACAGACGCTAGCCGCAATATGCGTGCTAGTGTATGCGGGTGCTATGTTACCTGCTGCAATATGCCAGGATGTCATGGCCCCTCTCTCAGGCCAGACATTGGAAAACTACGTCTTATGAAATACGCTCTTTCCACGTAATCTCTTCGAGATTTCAGATGTTGGACGGACCCCATTTAGTGCTTGGCGAATGCGGATTACTGCACAAGTTCTAAGGTGAGTGAACTCTAGTGTGGATATAAATGCACGCATGCAGCCGTTCCTACCAAAGCGATTGCTGGCACCATGCCAACGGGGGAAACTCGTCCGAAAATGCTCGTCAAGGCCTGCCCAGAGTCAATTTTAGTCACCACTCCATACCGTCAAGTGTAAAAGGCCCAGGGGCCAATTCAATAAAGAGTCCGCAACCAACGATCGCTTTGCACAATAAACAAACGAAAAACCGCAGAATCAAGCGTTGTAACATTTTGGAGGGCCTGCCTGCAACAACTTCTTGCCCAACATGTATTTAGACGCAATTAAAGCAGTTAGTGAATTGAAAAACATCTTAAAAACTTAAGCCGTGAACTGGTTCCCCTAACCGCGAATCTCTTTAATGTCGTTTCAACATGTTGCGATTCTCACGGCTGAAAGCCACAAAGACTAATGCAAAAACCTGCACTTTTGTCTCTTCGCTAGGCACGTCGGCCAAGGTTTCACATCTGCAGCGACATAAAGGAACTCTAACCGAATGATTTATCTATGATTATGATGTTGCACTTTCTTATGGGTGTAAAAACCATAATGGAGTCCATCATCACACACCTCGTATCGGTCTTCAATGGGGTCGCTGTTTGTGGAAACACCGCTGAATCGCTCGTCACCAACGGAACTGCCTATGGATGACTGGCTATGACCTTTCAGTTGACGATCGCCGTTTTCATCAATCTCCGTAATGCAGGGGGACAGTTGAGTAAATATCATCGTGTCATTAAGTAAATATCATCGTGTAAAAGTCCATTGAAAGTCTATACAGGCAAAATCGGCTGGTGGCCATGGATAAAGAAGCTATGAATAAGCCAAACACCTGCTGGCTTGACTTCCCCAAGCCCACAAAAAGAAGAAGCCATTACCTCTGAATCTAAATCATAAGTCTGAATCACTCCCCCCCCCCCTAAACCATACTAAAAGAAAATTTCATAAGAGATTATAGTCATTAGTATCCAAATAATCAGTCTCGAACAACGCGTTTTCGGCGACCGAAGGGTGGAAGATGCTTGTCGGCACTTTCTGCGTACTTTTGGCCGGCATGCGACGTTCCGAAGCCAGTCAGGGTACGGAGACATGTGAACGACTGTGTGCGAAAAATGCAATAAATGCCCCCCGTGGAAGAATTGCGCCCTTGAAACTCTGTGTTGCTCCAGTAAAACAGCAAAGTGTTCAACACATGCTACGGACCTCTTCCCCTTCAACCCAGACGCAAAATCAATTCCAGTCTTTTTTAGAGAAAAAACATTTATCACCCCCTTCCTTCCCTACCCTCCCTACTTCACGGATTCCATTCCCGTTGAGATTAAACATTGAGACAATCAATAGAAAAAACAGGAGCAATAAACTTGCTAGAGGAACTCCCAAGCTCACCGGGTCTACATAGAAGAGCTGGAACAAGTCCTGTAGCATTCAGAGCGTTCCTGGCTTGCCACCAACCTTCCTCGGGTTTTCCGATGATTTCCAAGGTTTCACCAGCTTCGAATGGCAGGTCTGTGTCACGTTCCCCTTCGAAACGGTACAAACCGACCACCTGAATAAAATTTTAGACAATGTACGTCGCACGTTAGCAATAGCGATCCCCAGCGAGGGGGGATACAGTTTGCCTTTAAGAAAAATGCTTCAGTTGTTGACTTCTTTGGTTTTACTTGTTTCAAGTGCGCTGTACCTCACGCCCTCTCGACTGGTTGTTTTGCTGGGAAAAAAACTGGGAAAGACTGCGCGAATTCCAAGAGGAAAAACTGTGGAGGTTAGGACGTCAGAGATGAAGAGAAAGATCGAGGAATGGACTCGTGAAGACAGGGGTGTCCTATCACATGAAAAAAATTGAGTGGGGGTCGTATTTTGAAAAATTTCCCCAGACGGCAGGTCATGCGGAGATAATAGATTGTCCTTAACGAGAAAGAGAAACCTTAATTCCCGATAAAACGAGTTCCAACACAACACTCCCACCCCTTAGCAGCTTCAGTCAAAATTCCAGAAGTTTCCGAATCCGTTCAGCCCAGAAACCAACCACAGTGGCAGTAGCAATGAAAGTCGAAACTATGTGTAACAAGTAAGTTCTCACCTGCTCAATTTGCCCTTTGCGATATGGAATAGTGAGGGAAGTCTTATCGAGAATATGAATTTTGAAATGATTTAACAACGTCGGTATATCCATGAAGTCGTGGTCAGCAATCTGTAATGAAAAGTAGTTCAACGGACATCACCCAGTTAGAAAATGATGAAAGACACACCTTGACCTGTTTCACTCCATTCTCACCAAATTTCTCTTCAATTAGGTAGTGGCGCACTTTATTATCGTCATCCGATTCTCTAAAATCATGAAAGTGGAGTGATAGGAAGCGAGAGGAAGAATCGGGTACTATTTTCATTCAAAAACGACAGCTTTCCAGATCAAATTGGATACTTTCAAACCAATATGGACACTTTTCGAATTGACTCAGATACACTCCTTACACTGAACATTAATTATCACAGTACCCGCACGATTACCCCCCCCCCCCCCACCTAGTGCCAATCCCACTTTCCAGCGCAGTCGTGACCTTTCAATATTTACCTTGTAACTTCGGCTCCCGTGATTCTTGCAGTTCTGCCATTTTGCATAAATACAGTAACTGAAAAGTACACCAACACACGAGCGAGTCATCCCACGCCTTTAGGAAAATTATTTTGAGCAAATTTTTATAACTTTTTTCAACGACACTGTATTCTCATCCACTCTTCACACAGGAGGTACTCATAGACTCGCACTTCAGAAGCTCGCAAAAGCACACTAAGCTCCGCCCTCACGCCCACTTCTTTTGGCAAAATATTGATTATTTTCAAAACTTTCACATTTTCGCGCTGCTCCGGCCCACTTCGTAGAAGACCCGATCACTTTTGTGTGATTCTTCAAATTAGAACTTTAGAAACCTAACCTGTACGTCAGAGTCTCGCCCACCACTGGGGACAAACCTTGCCTGTTTTTTTTTGTTCTGAGTGACGAGCGAAACTCCGACAGACTAAGTGAGACTCAAAGCTGCTCATCTGAGGGATTTCAAGGAAGTGGGCGGAGCTCATTGAGGACGGAGCTACCCACGTTAGCCCGAAAAACAGTAAGTTTTGAAAAAGTATCAACTTTGCAAAAAAAAGTGCGCGTGGCTGTCGGGGCGGGGCTTGCAGAAGTATCTAGTGTGATCTGCTAACTCCTAATCTGGTGTGAATATTGAGTTCAATTTGATATGAAAAGAGCCCGATTTGTTTCAAAAAGTGTCCTATTCGATCTGGAAAACGTCCAATTCCTTTTAGAAAGTGTCCGATTCGAAATTTTTATGGATAAATATTTCACGAAAGATCATGTACCTCACGCTCAACGAATAATCGCCTGGTCTTGAACTGTCACGCAGAAGAAATGTACCGATAGCAACGCCAGCCTCTGACAACAGACGAGCTGCTTCATCACGTCCCATCTTCCCAAAATAGAATGATGCCCAGTCATATGGGTCGAACGATGCCGACATCCTGCAATACAATAACTCACCTCTATTTTGGAACAGAAACAAAAGGATAACCCCACAACGACGCATCGTCGTCGAACGAACGATTGATGCAATAAACCTTTAACGACCAGCTGAAAAAATGCACCAAACGCGCCACAACTGGCACAAAAATGCGGATGAAAAAAGAACTTGAAAGAACGAGGAAATGGAAAAATCTCGTCAGTAGTCTCGGAAAAACACCAATTCATTTCTATGCTTAGTCGTCGACTATTATCCGTAATTCTGTGGAATTATGGGTATTTAGAGCAATTTTCTCGCGCCACCTGGACGCAGAAGACCGAGAAGCCAATGCACAATTTAAACTGCGGGCTACCTAGAGGAAAAAAGCGAAATAGAGGAAACTTGCACGTCAAGTGCAAAAAAGTGGCCCCGAATGTGCTTCAGCTGAGAATAAGACCGCTTACCTCTCCGATGAGGAAAATGACACTAAAAATCAAAGTGTGGCTGGCGACCACGAAATTAATATAACAATATTACGAATATCAAAGCCACAGAAAACGACCACGGTATGCGTCATGCGTGAAACAGCACAGGGCGATAAAAGTGGAAAATTCTGGACCAATAAAATTTAGTTCTTCTTTGACGTCTGTTCAGGGGGAGGGGCAACAAAAAGCACATTGTTCAGTGAGCTTTTCCCTAAACGTTATTTCGCAAGGAATGACATAGTGAATATTTGATGTGGACGCTCACTTCGGACTCTGATCTGAATAATTCTATCATCGGAATCTGTGGAACCAACGTGCTGAACTCCCAGGGCGCTTGACAATAAGTTTGATTTTCGGGGTCGCGTTACGAGAAAGAAATCATGCACCATATCGACGCTGTTCAAAAACATGAATGGCTGGTATCGTCCTGTTCCAGAGCGATCATTTCCAGAAACCTGCACGCAGTTGACTCAACCCTTAAGATGAGGAAGCTACTTCAACCTGAGTCAAATACTTGAGGGCGCTATATATGTCCCTCCCCTTCTCCACAGATTCTTGAAGAAAAACAGTCGTATTTTTGGAAGAATTCTTGAAAAGTGGTATAATGATGAGAAAATTTGGGAAGTTCGGGGAAAAACTTGGAAAGATAGGGTTGTACCAGAGGAGGAAGCATTCCACCTTGCTCACCTACTCTGTCACTCACGAACACCGCAGAGCGAGCTGCTTGAACATTTCTCTATCTTTGCTCATGGATGTCAAACTGAGTCCCCTCGAACTCTCTAAGCCGCGCTCATAAGTTGTCTGGAAAATCCGCGATTTTGTGGACAAAACTGAATAGGTTTCGCTTAACTCCCCCCCCCCCCCATTTTCTTACAGCGAATAGCGCATTCTCCTGAGCGTATTTCGTTGAATCGCGGAGTCTTTCGACCCTGTATGCTCCAAATTCAAGAAGAATGAACTCGGTTGTACCCATGTCCTTTCTTCAGGGAAACTACCTCAGAATTCCGCTTGTTTTACGCCTCGACATTCCGTTTAACTGATGGATTTCCGCCTCGAAAATGGTAGTCACGTGGGGTTTTGAACCACCCATGTTCCGCTTAACTACCCTGCCTCAGGTGCCTTTTGCGAAGCGAGACGGTGCCCAATCTTAGCTTTTTCGATTTCTTCGCTTTTGTTCGAATCCTTCATTCTGCGAAAAAGAAGCTGCCACGTAATAACGAAAGGAAAACAGGATTGAATCGAAAAAGTCAAGTCTGAAGAATCAGAACAGCTTAAAAAGTCAATGTCAAATCAGTATTCACCCCCAGATGTGAATATCAACAGAGAGTTCGAAAAGGTGACTCAAAAGACAATAACAAAAAAAACGCTGTAATCTTCCAATTTCAAAGACCATAAAAAGGGTTATATGAAGGAGAAGAAGGAACTATTTCCAAGTGCAGAAGCAAAGCGAAACTCCAAAATTTTGCTGTGAAAAGCTCACAACATCCAAAGAATAGAGAAAAGTTCAAAAGTATCTCCCTGCATTCGTCCTAACCAGGGTACGTCCTGCCGCTGGAGAAAAAATATCGCGAAATACGACCCCTCTCAAAAGTTCCGCCTCTGCTACGATGGGTAATAACTTCAGCTGGAACTGAACTGTTGAATTTTGGGGCGTCCTCAAAGGTTTTCATAGGGTTGCACTGTGAGCGGCCTGAGAAAAACGATGTACAAATGCAATTTTCTGTGAATTTTTGAACGGTTTCCATTCACAAATAACACCTATCATGGCTTTACAGTTCTTTTTGAAAAAAAAAACGAAAAAAAGAAGGGACAGTATCTAAATTGCTAATATTGCCAGATATATAATTAATTTTAGTAGAACAACTACACTACGGTAGAAAACTAACGCTTCAACAAATTGCTCTACTCATGACTTTATTGATTTTACCAGCAATAATCAGCAGACTGTAAACAGTTTTATCAGTAGTAAACAAGGGACGTTGTTGTGTGGGAGTTCGGATGCAGCTGGGCTTGGTGGGGCCACCGAGTGGCACCCTAAGCGAAGCCTGTACAGCCCATCCTAAGAAGATCTGCGAAATCCTGGACCCAGTGGCTCACTTCGCAGCTCCATAGATGTCCATAAGTTTCACCAATGTTGCCGGAATTTGTACTGACAGTGTTGATGAGAAACCCTCATAAAGTTTTGCAAAGCGTTTTTCATTCTAACGATTCGTACTGGGTCACGTCAGACGGAGCGACAAGTTCCAGTTCACACTTCAACAAGTAAATCTTCTTGAAAATGTTAAATAGCAAAACTAGGAGCTATCGAAAGAACGGGCTTACGGGACAAGCGCTAGCTGGGCCATTCGGGGAGCCGCGCGACTAACCACCGTTCTCCAAGGTCATTAAGATCAACCCCCAAAGGAGGGGGGGGTATTATTAGGTATTTGGTTCGAGAAATTCCTTGATATTCTGAATTTTGTTGTTTCACGGGAGCTATCTACATCGCTGGGAGAAACCCAGTCCAATCCAGAGGGATGGTCGCTTCAAAGGAGGAATCTGGGAGGTAGGGGGTGGTCGTCTTTCAAGAAAACTTTCCCCAGCGACAGGGCATCCCTGATCGAGATATTTCCCCTCTTCAGATTTGAAAACCTAGGGCAAGAAAAAGAATTCCAGGAAGGATGGCGAAAAATAAGAGGAACGAAGAAACAACTTCATGTTGCATAAGAATGCCGCATTCACGGACTGAGACATCCACAAAAACCGGTATTGAAATTCAGGCGAACTAAAACTAGTTTTTCTTTTTTCGGACTTTTGATAATCGGTGGAATTGTTGCTTGAAGTGAAGTGAAAGTGGAAGCAAGTAAAAGGAAATGCAATTTAGAATGAAACGAAGAAGTTTGAAAGAAAAAAACGGAGCTGTTCGACTTAGTGGGGGCATTTTGCTGATTCCCATCGATCACTGCTCTTGCCTCCTGTAGAGACTGCATTCCTGTGTTGAGAAGTGCATTAGCAGAAGCTTCGTTTACACTTGACAAGAGTTACAGGTTCTACCAAAGTGAGACATGTAATTTGATAGGAATTAGCAGAAGAAACTAGCCAAAGTGCAAAATGTACCTCCCAGGCAGCACAGCGCCAAAAAACCCTTTTGCAGAACACTAAAAGACCATCTAAATGATTATCAACCGTGAAGAATGATTTTTACACATCAGAGCCACTCAAAAGAAAGCTCAGCGAAGAAATTTGTGGGAACAATTTCCATCCAGCGAAGCACTCATGTGTCCCCCATGGGATGAATCATGATGTAAGCATATGCAGAAAGACGTCAAAGCATCGATTTCACCAGACCCTTTATATTTTCGACAACAGAAGAAAAAGCTTTGAGAGAAACGGACGTCAAGACGTCGTCGGACGGCGATTTGAATAGTCAGTGGGGCGAGATGAGCCGATTGAACCTGCGCCAATCGATATACCATAGAAATTCGGACCCACACCCACGGTGATTGCTGAGGCAATACAAAGAACTATACATTTCCTTATGAAAGATCTCCCCTTTCTCCAATGCTATGAAACTGCAGACGCCAGGGTTTGTAATAAGCACAGAAAACGATCCAGTCCGAAACTTAAAACTTGAAAAACGCCACCAAATTTGCACAAGTTCCAGCTGCCTGCCATTTTAACTGGTTCTTGTGAAAACTTCACGATTTCAGTGCTGTCGCCAAAAACTGTCCAGCTGATAGGACGTTATCAAGAAGAAAAATGGAGCATAATAAGTTCCACTGATTCGTAATGAGTTGCTTCTTTTCTGCACGTTCTTTAAACTACAGAAAACTTTCTATTCTTAACATCTCATTTTCATTCTTATTCTTATTTTTTGTGGCACTATCCATTGACGTGAGTCACTAGCACAACAAGCGAGCACCCAAGACACTGAAAACCACGACTAACACTTTGCTCTATTACAAATGTTTGAGAAAAGTAATATTTGCTTTTTTTTTCTCTTGAAAACGGAAAACCTCTTTTCGCGGAGAATTCGATTTTTCTCGTTCGTCCACTATGGAACTTTTTCCCATGGTCCCATACAGAGGCAAAAACCCTTTGTACCTTTGGTCACAATTCTTTTTGCTCACACAATACGGCGCTAAATGCTATTCAGAGTCTAGCAAAAGGCGAAAAATTCAAAGCAAAGCTCTCTACTATCCACATACTTGTGAAAAACTGTGATTTCCGTGATCCGCACAATCTATTGCATCAAATCTCCCCCTTTACCATGAGGGGATAAATGTCTCTTTCGGTTTGCTTGTGTCTCTTTCGGTTTGCTTGTGTCTCTTTCGGTTTGCTTTATTTTTGACAACTGTTGTTTCTGGCGTTTGCGGTGCGAATGTGATCGGCACATCTGATGAGGCGCAACACAAAGTAAGCTTCGGGCGGGGTGGGGTAAACGACAACAGGAAGAATACTGCTGATACGAACGATAATACGGTTTTTCGCTTGCCGAGGGGAAAAAAGACAAAAAGCTGTTTGGCGCCGGGCCAAATCCTTTCCCCTTCTCACGCTCCATCATCCGCAACGAACAAGATATAAGTGTGAGTGCTGATAAGCTACAGCAGGAACTGTTGGCTAAAAACAGAACTGGTTCAGTTAGTGCAGTGGTGGGACCATTACGACTGTTGCCTCGAAGGCAAGTGATCCAGGTTCGAGTCCCCGTTCAGGCAAAGCTTCGCCCATGCAACCTTTCTACTAATATAATCGGCTATATCCGTGTGTGTGTGCGTCTGTCTGTCTGTCACGAAATTCATAGCACCTGAAGAAGAACTTGGAGAGGTCGGGTCATGGTGGGGGATGGGTAGAGCATGGGACAAAACCTAAATAGCACCCATGACCCATGGTAAGCCCCGCCCACAGTGGGCGGGGCGTGCATTTGAGCACGAGGAACAGTATAAAAAGTCGTAGTTTGGTCCTAAATCACTGCAGATGGTGCCAAAAAGTGGATTATGGTCCCCAAGTGATCAAATGTAAGAATGTGCGAGGCACTCCC